TGGAAGAGGTCGGGGCCGTGTTTCCTCAACAAAATGTAACTCATTGAAATGTAAACTGCTTTGATTCTAATTAACTTGGGAGAAAGTTAAATGTAACTTGTGAGATGTAACTTTAACCTACTCAAATGTAACTCGGAAATAAGTAGATGTAACTTGTGAAATCAACGTCCAGCAGAACGGGAAAATCCAAATTAATATAAATTTTAATAATACGCAGCGCTATAGATGCTAAATCAAATCAAACGAATTTGCTTTCAATTTTAAAAGGGTTATGCATAAATATTCCTCGAACAACATATTCATCCATCTCCTCCCTTCCTTGAGAGATTGAAATTTCAAAATTTCATTCGTTCGTTAACACAAAAAGAAGTAAATAAATAGAAACAATAAAAAAGTACTCCGGTGCTCTTGACTTTTGGAGTATGTGACAAGTACGAAAAATGTGCGAGCTTCACAAAAGTCATTTGAAGAGATTTTATTTGTGTTTGTGATGATAGAGTCAAAGCCCCATGGTGATATTGGGTTCTTGACTTATGGTTATCGGGTCTCTTTATAACCAAGGTAAAAAATCAGCATAGTTTTGTAGTCAGGGAGGACTGAAGGGTCTCGTCCCTCCTCTCTTTTACTCTAGTATATGTATAAACTATAAAAAACGTATTTAAATATTAAGCTATGACTCTAATCAATATATATATATATATATATAGGGAGCGGTTCAGATAAGAACGGATCTTAGGAGAGAAATGAGAATGAATCTGGACCGTTGGATTGAATTATGTGGAACTGAATTGTGCAGTTGGTGAAACCGAAATGTGCATTAGATGATATTGAAATGTGCAGAATTAAAATTTAAACTCACATGTGCATTAGGTGAAACTGAAATGTGCAGAATAAAAGGTACAAAAATAACATCGTATCGTACCTTTTGTTCTGCACATTTTAGTTTCATCTAGTGCACATTTCAAATTCACCTAATGAACAATTTAGCTTCACATAATGCCACTACATTGTACCATTTGTGCTGCACATTTCAATTTCACATAATACACATTACAACTTCATCTAATGCACATTGAATTTCACATAAAGCAAATCTAACGGTCGAGATTCATTCTCATTTTTCTCATAAGATCATGTTCTTATTTGAACTAAAACACACACACACACACACACATATATATATATATATATATATATATATATATATATATATATATATATATATATATATATATATATATATATATATATATATATATATATATATATGGAGCGGCTCCGGTAAGAACATACTCCCAGGAGAGAAATAAGAACGAATCTGGACCATTGGATTGTATCATGTGGAACTGAAATGTGCATTGGTGAAACTGAAATGTGCATTAGATGATATTGAAATATGCAGAATAAAAATGTAAACTTAAGTGTGCATTAGGTGAAACTGAAATGTGCGGAATAAAAGGTATAAAAATAACATCACATCGTACCTTTTATTTTGCACATTTCAGTTTTACGTAGTGCACATTTCAATTTCACCTAATGCACAATTCAGCTTCGCATAATGTCACTGTATCGTACCCTTTGTGTTGCACATTTTAATTTCACCTAATGCACATTACAGTTTCATCTAATTCACATTGAATTTCACTTAAAGCAAATCTAACGGTTCAGATTCATTCTCATTTCTCTCTTAAGATCATGTTCTTATTTGAACCAAAACCTATATATATATAAGAGATCAAATACAAACCATGCTTAAAATACTAACCTACAAACTCAATAATATGCATCACTTTGAACTTCAATATGCAGTAAAAATAATGTAAAGATGAAGGGGTGAGATCACATACAAACTAGTCCTCTCATTCAAATAATCTTTGCATTATTTGTATTGCACATTGAAGTTCAAAGTGTTTCATAATATTCAAGCCAGAAAATAGCAGTTTCATATTTACATTATTTGTATTGCATATTGAAATTCAAAGAGTGCATCTTTACATTTTTTGTACTGCATATTGAAGTTCAAAGTGTTGCATATTATTGAGTTTGTAGGTTAGTAAGTTAAGCATGGTTTGTATGTGATCTCACCCCTATACACACACACACACACACACACACAAAGCGCCACATAATCCCGCCATGTCATTATATATAACAATTATTTACTTATTTTTATAACTTTTGTTTTTATTAAATTCTTTTTTTGATTGCATATTGATATGGAAACAAAAATCCTTATAAATCCACCTTAATTAATTTGGTAAGCTTCAAATAAGTAAAATAATTTTTGGTTATCAAAGTGAAATTCTAATAACGTTTATTGATATGGAAACTAATTTATATTAGTTTACTACACCGAATTAAATAGAAACAAACATGCAAATTAGTTTACTTATTAATTTGACACCTATTAATAAATTAGTAAGCTTCAAATAAGTAAATAATTTAAAATGAAATTAAAAATTATAACCAACATAAAGTATATATATATATATATATTCACAAGTAAATATGTTTAGCTTAGCCAAATAAGTAATTTTTTTGGTTGTTTCTTTATTTTACACCTAAAATTCAAATATGCCTTCACTTTTGAAATAGATTCCTAATCCAAATTAGAAAATCTTTATAGGTTTACGAATTCCTACTTTTATTTTAATAGAATATTTTTAATTGGATTGATTTTGGTTCCAGATTAAATCAGATGAGATCAAACTTTAATAATTATGACAATAAGTCACATAAAAAACAGACATCTAATAGACAATATTAATTTATACCAAATCAAACCCAAAATTTTAATTTAATTACAAACGTTCTTATTAATGAGTAAAATATAAGATCTAACAATTAAGAAATATAGAATTTTTTTTATTATTGGGTTCATAACAATTATGTTTACTTGAGATGCTTATGTAGAAGACCAATTTAACTTTTTTTCATATTTTTTTCTTTGTTTCACAAATGGAATATATTTCACATATACAAAAGATTCCACCTATTTAACCAGAATTCAATCAATTTCAGTAAAATAAGTTAATTCTATTTACTTTAGTATCATCAAATAGACTATATATTAGACTCTATATTATCAAATAATAAAGTGCGAGCAGGTACCTCCCTCAGGAGCAGAGACCTATCTCAGTACAGCAGTTGGCTCAAATTCTGGCAAAACTACAAGGACTCTCACAACGTGGCATATACCATCTTGATCCTCTCAAATCAAAGAGTCCAAAAAGGTAACTTTTGCCCAAAGAACCCACCAAAATTCTCTCACACTTGAGCTCTCTGCTCTCAGTGTAAACACACTCCATGCAAGTAATGCCAAGGGTATCCAACCGTATTCTCCAACGGCAATATTGCAACGGCTAGTTTTCGATAGCCTATAAATACATCATCCGTACAACTCCTTCACACTTTTCACTTTGCAATCTATTTCTAACTCTCTCTAAGCCTTCTTTTAAATCACATTATATGTGATCCGATAGAAATTAAATTTCAAATTAGCTAAATTACATACTGCCCGTGCATCGCACGGGCTTGAAAGCTAGTGCTCTGTTATTGAAATAAATGAGAGGCGGTTATGCATTTCATGGCAAACATTACTTAGAAGGCATTTACTTCGCTGCTAAAGTCACAGTTATGTTAGTAGGACAGGTGAAGTAAACACGCAAGTTGCTTAAAACACTGCTTAATAACCGAAAGAGATGCTTAAAGTGCCGCTTACTAAGCATACCACCCCCATGTATTAATTGAGCGACACTTTAAGCTTTTTCAGTTTCCGAATTTACCCTTACCCTATTGCTACCCCCACTACCGCGCCCTACCCCATCCCCACCCTTGACCCGACCATACCCACCCCCACCTTACCCCTACCCCGACCTACCCCTCCACCACCTGCCCTACCCCACCCCTTACCCCGACCCTACCCCTTGCCCCAACCCCTACCCTACCACCCCGGCCAGCCCTTACCCCTACCCCGACCCTACCCTCCACCACCTACCCCACCCCACCCACCTTCACCCCCTACCACCTTCCCCTACCTTGCCCCAACCCCACCCGCCCCTACCTTGACCCACCCCTACCCCACCCCTTCCCTACCCCGACCCCTACCCTCACCCCTTCCCTACCCCGACCCCTACCCCCACTTGTACCCCTTACTTCGACCCTACCCTTTTACCCCTACCACCTGCCCCTATCTCGACCCCACCCCAATCCCATTACCATACCCCGACCCCTACCCCTTTATCCCATATCACCTGCCCCTACCTCGACCCAACCCCTATGAGTAGGGTGGGTTGGTATGGGTGGCAGTAGGGGTGGAGGGTAAGGTCATGGTAAGGGTAGGGGTAGGAAAGGGGTGGGGGTCAAGGGTGTGGAATTGGGGGTAGGGTGAGGGGTGGGGGTACAGGATGGGGTAGGGGGTAGGGGTGTGGGTAAGCGAATAAACGTACGAGGTGACCCCACATATTATATTATATATTTGTGTTCATGAATGTTTGTGTGTGTATATATCTATAGGGTTATTTTGAACATTTCAATGTTAAACAGTGTTTTAAATCCTTTGAAGTAAACATGAGCTTACAACATTGCTTATTTTATGCGCCGCTGATTAACGCGAGTCTTAATAAACACCGTTTATTAACCCGTAAAGTAAACGTGTCCTTAGTTATGCTACTATTGATAAGATCGAGTAGCTTTGTTTTCAAAGAATTAGTAAAAATTAACATATTTTTAGCCTTAGAATGTAAAGAATAAAATTTTTAGTCAGCCATAAACCAGCCACCGGTGGACTATTTCTAACTAATAGATCATCAAAATCTTATGTGGAGATAAAAGAGCGTGTTGTATGGGTTTTAGAATGTTTTCACTTTGACCATTAAGAGCCAGCCGGCCAATTTTTTAAATCCCACCCTGAAATGTTTGAGTTAACGAAGTGATGCATTAAAACATGAGCTACTCCTCCTATCTGGTTGACCTTTTATGATGGAACCCCAAGTCTTAAAACAATTCAACCAAATGCTTGCTTGATTAAAGAAAAAATGTCGTACTAATGCTGATCTTCAAGTTTTATTAATGGGGCAACAATCTCAATCTCCAGTATACAAACATGACCAACAAAAACAGCCACTTGACTGAATGATTACATACATTTGACAAACAAACAGATATTTTAAGACAACAAACAAGAGGTCACTGTATTTAGTACTCGGTATTAGTTAAGGATTATAGATATGGATACAACAGAAGATGGTAAGCCATCCCAGAGTTATTCATTCACAGAACTCTTCACAATGGTAACTGGGCAAGAAGCATTATTCACCACATAGTTACTGACGCTACCCATTATAGCCCTGCAATGGCAAAACAGAAGAACAACATTTCCAATTATTTTTTACTTTTTACCATGGCAGAATGTTGGTGGAGTATTTGTTATTGCTTCATGAACTTTATACTGACTGAGTTTGTAATAAAAACCCAGACTACTCAAAGTCTAAATGGATAGGTTGTAATCAAGAACAAAAATATCCGTATTTATCGAAATTGGTACTTTATATTTATATAGCTAGACTTTAGGGAAGGGCCCAACACAAGGGTGTGTAGGAGGCAACCCTTCCCTTGTCATTTTCACAAGAAGCTGATCTCAAGACTTAAACATGTGATTGAGAGGTCACATCACAACACCTTAAACGATATGCTAAGGCTCCCCTTCTCTTAGTTATCTCAGATATTCGAGAGAAATTTCACTACCCTCATATAGATATGCGGGACCTCAAAGTACATATATTTCGATGTATCGTTTCATCATTGGTTCTAACCTGCTCACACAAGACTTCAGAAAGACTTCATGAAAGTTAGGTTCCTTTTGGTGGCCTATTTTAGCTTAAACTAGCTTACTTGTATTCCACTTCAAAGCAGAATAAATACAATAAATAGTTTAATGAATTACTTGCTGTATCCTAGATGTGTCTTGGAATGCAATTCATAAGGATTTAGTAAAACCTTCTTTGTTTTATTAGAGTTATTACCAGGATGATTATTGTTTCCTTAGATTATCGTAATAGGAAATATTATACTTCAACTTCATACCTACTTGATGGATACCACATAACGTTCTAACAACATTGGGACAAGCACAACAAACATGTATTGAAGACACGAGCTTCATTTGCTTTCTAATTTTTCTTCAAAACACAAAAAGAAAACACTGCTTATTTGTTTGAATTTAGCTGAAACCCAATCATAGTATCGTAACAAACGGTGGCTGCAAAGGTGAAAAACATGAAATTCCTTATAATTTAAAGGAAATAAAACGTTCACAAACCTCTTGAGTGTGCCAAGTCCTCTATTCCCAACAACAAGACAGCTCAGATAAACTTTATCCACTGCTTCACACAGCTTCTCTCGGGCATCACCCCAAAATATCTTCATCACAACAACAATCTGTTTTTTCATAGAAAACAATATATAGTCAGAATAGCTTCATGAGTACAAGAAGATAGGAAATGGGAGATGAGAAAAAACCTCCTTCTGCCTGGCTGCAGTAGTCACAATGTCCAGTGTTTCTGCATCTGGACTGACTCCATATTTGTTCATAATATGACTATCCGTCAATTCCGCTATAGGAATCAGAGCTGAATATTTTTGTGCAGAAAAAAGATGCATTAGGAAAAACCTAAGATCCCAATTAGAGAGATGTGACATGTGCCTATCATGATTTGATCACCTCAACCTAAAAAAACAGTATTACATATTGCTATTTATTCAAAGTTCCAGTCATTTCACCAAAAACCATTTACCACACTGAAGCTAAGTGTCTAAAAGTAGTTAGTTTTATGATGATATATCAGGATTATGACAGAAAATCGTTATCTTTAACCTTTAAGGGGTAAACCAATGAACTAATGAGAGATAAAAAATTGGTAATCGCCCATTAGGATGTGATATTATGTATTGAGATTGGAATATTGGATAACCCAGACCACTAGATTTTGCACCAAAAACAAAAAACATAAACAAGCTGCTTTAAAAGTGAATCATTAATTCACACAATTGTAAGCATTTTCAAGCACAGTCATCCTCAATGGGATAACATTAGAGTGAAACATTAAATCTCTGATTCAAGAATCACAATAGAAAAGCAAACTGTAATGATTATTCCAACAAGAAACACAATCAAGTGCAAAACTAAAATAATGATGATGACGACGACCTGAACCTTCCATTATTGGGCCGGAATACCTTAATTAATAAACTAGTAAGTGATTTGCCGAATTTGAGCATATAATCAGAAGCTGCCATCACAAGCATCGTGTATTCCTTTTTCAATTTCATAACGAAGACGTATGAACACACAAAAACACTAGATGCATCACCTAAATAGTTCCGAGAACAAATACACATGAATCCAGGGAGATAAAAGAGGAGATCATACGAGAACCGGTGGTTTCCCAGAGCTGCATCTCGCCTTCCTCGTAGTGGCCTTGAGGACGAACCGTGACGAGAACAAGGTGATCCCCTTTCCGGAGCAAATTCTCAACCGCCCATTTCAGAGCCTTCTTGCTGCACGCTGAAAAATCGACCGCCACTCCCACTACCCTTTCTCCTCCCATCTGTCTATTTTCTCCTTCCCTCCAGCTATGGCGTTATCTCTTATGAGTTATGATTGTGATGATATAACCCAACCAAAAATCGCAAACGGAATGAAGGAATAAATGACAACGTGCAGACCAAAGTCAATGATGATACAGATTGGAGAATACGAATCAATTTAGAAGATGACAAGATGTTTGACCTGGTCACCCGGATCATCCTACGGTGCACCTGTAAACTTTTCTCTTTTCAGTTTTTCATTTTTCATTTTCTATTTTTATTTTTTCAATTTTTCATTTCCTTTTTTTGGAGAAGTTCACTTTCCAAATTACTCCCCTCGTTCCTATTAAAACTTCCAAATAGGTTTTGCACATAATTTAAGATAGTGGATATTGTGTGGTGGAGAGTTGTGCAGAGGAGAGAGAAATGTGTAAGAAATGTTGTGAACCACAAATTCTTTACTAAAAAGGGAAAGTGGAAGTTTATTTAGGAACGGAGGGAGTAGAACACAGTTGTTCCAAAAAAAATAAATTAGAACACGGTAACACACATTACCAATTTGTATTCATTTTGCATTTTCTACTTTCAAAGTCATAAATTGAGATCACGTGCTTCTTATGTGTTTATTTAGTTGTGAGCTTTTGCCATATTTGATCCCCGACTATTATGTCAATGACACTTTTGGTACTCGACTTCTAATTTTTCCTTTTTTAGTCATCGACTATTGTGCTAGAGACACTTTTAGTTCCCGACTTCAAGGTTTCCCACATTTAGACCCCTTGTATTGTCAAATTGACATTTTTAGTCCTCACATTATGATTTTGACACAATAAGTGGAGGACTAAAGATGTCACTATTATAATAGTGTAAAGATCAAAAGTGTCACTTTTATGAAAGTTGAAGGACTAAATATGGAAATTTTCAAAGACGGGTACCAAAAGTCTCTCTAGCGCAATAGTCAAGGACTAAAAATGGAAAAAACCAAAATCGAGTACCAAAAGTGTCAATGACATAATAGTCGGATGACTAAAAGTGGAAAAAACTCTTTAGTTGTTTACAACTACTTATATTTCAACAATAAAAAAGAAAAAAAAATCTTATATTTCAAAATAAAAAAATTAATATTCAAGATACGTTCAACCCTTAGATTTTAAATATCCTACTACATATTTAAAGACATGAATAAAGGACAACAATAAATAAATATTCTTTAACGCCACGAATTAAAATTAATACGTAGTATATAAAAAAGACATGAATCATGAGCATATACTATAATAGATTTATATGGAATTTCAAAAAAGAGCAATATGAATGGTACATATTGATATCATTTATACCTTTGTGCTATAAGATAAGTAATAAATAAGACACTACTATTATTGCTATATATAATTGGGAAAGTTCTAGAAATATGATTAAAACAGTTTGAAAATTCCAAAATAGGGCTGTCATGTTTTTTATTCCTAAAATAAGAGTAATTACGGTCAAATTTGGAAAATACTGTCATGTTTGAAATCTGGTACTGCCAAAACATGACAGTAATTAGTCATATTTTGGGAATAAAAACATGACAGTCCTATTTTAGAATTTTCAAACATTTTTAGTCTTATTTCGGGTAATGTTCTCTATATAATTACATTGATATGGTGATACTATTAGATTATTATTATTATTATCATTATTATCACTTTATTATTTTATTCTTACACTATTATATAATAATTATTGTTGCTGTTATTTTTACTATCATCGTTAGTTTATCATAATGATCATTTTCATTTAGTTTTAAATTTAAACCGAAGACTGGAGATATACAACTTGTTCGAGATCATATCAAAATTGCAAATAGTTGGTTTTTAAATGTCTTCAATTTCAAAATTTTGACTTTTTTTGGTTTGGATTGTGTGAGAGGGCAAAGCTCAAAAGTTGGATAAAGGATTGGACGGGTATGTATGTTTTTTGTTGAACTATTTTCAGTTCCAAACTTGATCAGATAAAATCAGTTGAACAATTATAAAATATACAGAGATCAGACGTTTATCAGATCAGACCAGACCAGTTCAGATAATATCAAACTAGACCAAATCAGATCAGAAAATTTCACTCCATGTAAAAACATTCTATATAATCGGCTTGGTTTTATGTCCATCTAGCTAGTTTATTTTTTATTTTGTGACAATATAAAGTAAAATTAATCTCGAAGAATGTTTAGGAAACTCATATATCATATTATTAGAGAACCTTCGAATTGAATGATAATTATCTTTAGAAATAAATGTAATGCATTCATCTTGATTCATCATGGTTAAAACTAAGTTCTTCTAGGATCAATTTTAAGTTAGCACTTTTGTTATTTGTTTTGTGACAAAAAATCTAGTTAAAATTTCAATTTTTCATAAAATTGATAATATGAATCATACAAAATTCATAGATTTGTACAGATAACAAAAATCTATTTGCCCACAAAAAAATCTATAGAAGATTCATCGCAAATCCACAATCCATATAGAATTCATCTTGCTGGACTAACAAAGAAGACTTCCCTCCTAAGCAAAAATGAATGGATAAGACAACTACCTACACTAAGAGCCCGTTTGGTAGCACGAAAATCGGCTGTTTTGGCTTATTCTGCTGAAATTTATGAAGTTCTGGCTGAAGTGACTGCATTGGCTGATTCTGCTAATTTAAGAAAAAAATATTTTTAAAATATATTTTATTAATAAAATAAAGAAAAATTTATATGTAAAATAGCTAAAATGGTCATCTACATCAGTTTCAGCCAATACAGCCAGAAAAGTAACTCCAAACTTACTTTTTCTGCTTATGGCACAATTCGGCGCAAAAGCAAAAATTACGCGTTTGATGAAAAAGTTGGCTAATAAGCCTGATAAGACGAGAAACAGTGTTACCAAACGGCCCTTAAATGAACCCTTTACCGTTTACCATTTCAAGTTTTCAACCCGTCACTTCAATTAATATCTCTATCAATATGAAAATTATATTGGCAGACATAAAGAATTAAAAATTAAGATGAGATTATACTGGATTACTCGGTAACTGTAATTAAGCATATATATATATATATATATATATATATATATATATATATATATATATATATATATATATATATATATATATATATATATATATATATGTATATTCACTGTGATTAGCGAGAGTGAAAGGCAGAATCAGGTTGCCACTCACTCTTTCAATGAAATGAAAGCGCTTTACCTGAGGGAGTTCATCAAACGCAGATTCGCTGCAATTAGCCGCGAACATCTAAGGCATTTCGTCTTCTCTTCTCATTTCTGAATCTTCTCGAGCATCGGAATCCATGGCATTTTGGTGGCCGCTCATCGTTCTTGCGTTCGCTTTCGCGATATGCCGACTCCTCCTCATGCTCATTCCTCCCAACGTTCCCTCCATCGCCGTTGACACATCCGACGGTCTCTCTCTCTACCTCATAGTTTTTAATGCGTGCAAGTTGTTCAAGGAAATGCTAGCTCGTCTGTTTGTTTATTTGTTGTGCGCTATGAAATCTACCTAAGTACTCGAGTGCTGTTTCATTTTGAAATCCCGTGTATTTGATGACTGCAGTGTTGGAAGATGGGAATCATACAAAGGAGAATGGCTTCATCTACGTAAGTACTCGAGTGCTGTATCAACTTGAGAATCTGCATCTTTGTGAGTGAATTGAAATGGTGTGAATTAGTCCGATCATCTTTGTTCTATTTGCAATTTGTTTTCTGATTGATACTTTATCTCACTGAAGTGCTGCACGGCAAGGTAGTAGAATTTTGGATTTGTTTAAAATCAATATTGACCGGAGGAGTTATATATAATTCTACTATGGTGATCATTAATTGAGACAGTTAGTCACTTAGTTGATATGGGAGAGTATTTTTTAGTTTATACTAGTACTAGACCACTAGTATTGGGTTTGGTCATTCAAGTTGAATAATGCCGGGAAACTTCAGACTACAGATGAGTCTCATTCATTGTTTCATTTCCTTTATGTTTTCTGTGTAGTTCTTCAGCACATTAGAATGGCTTGTTAATATATTCTGCATCAGCAAATTGAATATGCAACTCAGTAATATTTAGAAGCAGAGTTACATTAAGAGATGTGTTCTCAGGCGTTAAATGTCATACTTGTGTAGATACCTTCAAGAAGACAAACTGACAAAGTCCAGTGCTATGAGCCAGCAACTATGAAGTATCTAGGGTACTATTCAGCATTCAAGCCTGATGAGGTTCGGAACTTTTGCTTATCCCCTACCCTATTTTTTTTGTTTCTGATAAATAATATTGCTGATATCATGTTCACACTCTTCTCCTTGCTTGTAATCAATAATACTTCTTTAATCTAATCATTGTATTTTCTTAAATTAGAGCGAATCTTTCATATAGAAATTTAAAACTGGAACAGAAACAACAATGCCCTAATTGCTGAGTTCTGTAAAGATGTTTTACTTGTGAAGTGTTTCACATGAGTGCAACTGATAACCGTGCTTTACTACTTGCTCAGGTTAAGGAACGTGTATCAGAGGCTAGGAAGGCTCAAAAGCTATGGTCAAAGAGCAGCTTTAAGCAAAGGAGACAGTTTTTGCGTATCCTGCTGAAGTATATACTCGAACATCAAGAGCTAATATGCAAGTAAGGAGAATCCTTACTGGCACTATTATTACCCTCTTTAAGGATGATTTCTCATTTTCTCCCATGAGCATGATAATATGACCGAAATCTTGATTTTTTAAGAATATTTGAGAAGGAAGGCGTAATTGAAAAAAGATCAGTAAAAATATTGGATAAAGATAAAGGAGCAAAATTGTTTGTATACCCCAATTTGTTATTCACGGGAAAGACAGTAGTAAACTCAATGAATTGGATTCTGTTAATTCCAGAGGTTGATAATTTGTATATTTTTTCTATGGCAAAACGTATACAAGTTTTAAATTGAGTGGATCAGTATTTGAGTTTGGGGCATAGTTAATGTTTTAGCTATTTATATCAGAATTTCCTCACGTGATACTGGAAAGACAATGGTTGATGCTTCATTGGGAGAAATAATGACAACATGTGAAAAAATCATCTGGCTTCTTTCCGAAGGTGAAAAATGGTTAAAGCCCGAGTACCGGTATGCTTGCTTCTATCTCCCATAATTCATAATTCAATTGTTTCCATTCCCGTAGTATTTAGAAAAAATCTGTTTCCTTGAATATTCAACTCAATAAAGCATCCCTTTCAACCATTTACACAATTAGAGTATTTTAGACCGCTAGCTGCCTCACAACTTAATACACACTTTATTGCATGTGTTGAATGATCAAATCTTAAAGTACGATAGGTTTATCACTTATTTATCTTACCTTTATCATCTCTTTCAAATCTGTTGCCTAACTCACGATATCCTTGAAAAAATGAGCATTCTACTTTCCTATATGCTGCTAACTGATCCTCACTGAGCTTGAACTTTGGTATAATATTTCAGGGATTCTGTTTAAAAATGGCACGCAGCAAGTGCTCATAAGAGTTTTGAGTCCTGACATTATGATCCATATTTTTTCTATAACTACCAGTAGATTTTTCACTGTCAGCGATAATGTTTATCATTTACATCAAGTTACGCTTGACAAGCAGGGTAAGAGGCATGTGAGCTTTTGTACTTTGTGTTTTGCAGCTCAACTGGAAGATCAATGCTTCATAAGAAGGCCAAAGTAGAGTTCCATCCACTGGGCGTTATCGGGGCCATTGTTTCATGGAATTATCCATTTCACAATATATTCAATCCAATGTTGGCTGCAGTCTTCTCAGGGAATGGCATTGTGATCAAGGTATTTCATCTATGAAGAATTTGCAT